TACTAGTAAATTTTCTAAAAATATTTTCTTAACTAAAATTCATTTTTTTAAAATTTATATTGTGTCGTCTCATCAATTTCTATACCATTTATGAATTATCGGTCATATTAGGTGGAAATTTTATTGAATTCGCATTAAAAATCTTTTTGTTTGTTCAACTCGGTTCCCCAAGATTAAATCTTGAGTGCGACACTGTATATATGCTTATGCACACATTTTATTAATTTTTTGACGTTCAGATGCGGATTTAAAATAGAAGTGTGTAGTTTCTCTTTAGATCAACTCTGCCGAAGTACAGAATAACGGAGTTGTAAAGGAAACTCCAGATCGAATTACTTTGACAATGAATTGTAAATTACTTTTTTCGTTCGATTACGATATATTACTTTTGGAATCAGTTTGATCGAATTCTGTATTTGCTTGAAACAACGCACTTCCACTATTGTTACTTTGAAATATTGATATCAAGGTTCAATTGAATGCCGCATTAATAAAGGATTCTGCGTTGAATCTAATCCGAAATTCGTGACGCCCATCAGAAGCCGCGTGGATAAAACCACTGAACACTTGTAAAACCTTAAAAGCCAGCCTGGCCATATAGAGTTTTCACGGTTTTATAATTCAGTGAAAAAATCGGATAACACATAAATAGGACCAGTTTTTCATAGAAAGTTCTCCTGTGAGAAATCTCCTTTCAACAAATCATCTGTGAGTTGTGTTGCTGTATATAACCAACAAACAAATTCGTGATTTTCAAAAATAGTTTTAAGTCGGTTATGCTGATTCTAACTCTGAACCGCGTCCATCTATCAAGGACAAAATTAAAATCAGCTATATTAACCATTTCGTATTGATAGGAAGACGGCACGAGAAGTTAAGGTAGCACAGCCTACCGCTCTGGGGAACAGAGATCGAATCCATTTGTTGGGATATGTTGGACCCCGTCCATAATCCAGCCGCCCCACCTGTGCCTAACCTAAAGCCACGACGATCTTTATAAAAGGTCCTCTCAGTGCCTACGGGTGAAAAAGTCCGAACAACATACAGTATACGGAAAAGAAAACATGCCCTTCGATCTTCTGTATACTTTTTCTCTTTAATATTGAATAAGTGTAAGCTTCTAATTCCGAAGTTTGTTTAAAATCTTGAAAGGAGAAATGAATCCTTGTCGTAAAGAACGAAGTACTTACGGTATATATCTTATGTCCTATAGTTGATAAGATTTTAAAAAGTATGAATCGGAAACATTTTTTATCGCAGTTTTTACTGTATAACGCACATTACCATGAAAAATGTTCTGCAATTGATTTTCTCTATCCATAAAAACGTCAAACAAAAATTTGCATGACAATGTTAACAGTACGATAACATTATCAATAGCAACTAAAAATAGCGATTAACGGCAAAGTAAAAATGCTTTAATATTAGCCCGAGACAAATATTTTTTCAAATAAACACTAAATTCTAATTTATTTGCGTTATAAAAATCAAACAAAATAATGTTTACTGGTATGCAGATTCAAAAAAGTATCATCAATAATATTTAAGTACACGATTAACGAATGTATTTTGCTTAGTACCGGTATAAAATCGAAACATGAGAAAGCAAAAAAAAATTTCAAAATTTTTCCATTAAAAAATTTAAATCACAAAAAACTTGAACATATTCCAATTTGATAATTTTCAAACGCTTTGAAATTTTTGTAATTTTTGTACCTGTATATTATACAACATATAATGTGTATACGCTATAATTTATACTGAAAAAAACATTAAATTCTAGTTTGATCTTACTTTGATATCTTTGATCTTACTTTGATTTTCTTTGATTCTAGTTTGTTCTTACTTTGTCTTTACTAGAAATTATTATTATACACGTAACAAAATACTTTCTATTCTGTTTCACGAAAGCATTCTTGTCATACACACTCTTGATACAAAAAATCAAGCACCCAGAAAAATTGTCCGATTATTGAAAAATTCGGCTTACTGTCTTAGAGACATATATGGAAAGATTAGCTGTGATCCAATTGCAGTCAGATAATGCCACCACAGTACCTTAAATCGCTACCCCAATATCCTAAAAAAGATCGCAGAGACTCACTGTAATCAGAATTTTCAGTCTACTTTTTATTACAGGTCTTTGAATGCCAAACATTCCTGTATAACGCAGTCAAAAATCCACAGAGAGAAAAGTTGCATCATTGGGCTGAGCGAAACAGGGGTGGCCGTTTTGCTAAATTGCCCACCATAAGACCGTTTGACCTGATTGTAACGAGGTGTTGGGAGCAGTATATACGTGATTCACGTATATATGCTGGGCAGACACTGGACTTCTAGACAGTATCATGAGAGATGATCGTCTCGTGAGACAAGCATGAACAGCTGCAACTACATATTTTTCCACTATCCAGAGACAGGTGGAAGCCCCCCTCTTCTCATACCAATTGAAAGGCAACTAGCAGAAGGTTGTTCTAGTTTAGTTGATCCTTTGTATAACTCGTTTTTAGAATTCAATTATCGTTATTTCAAGTTTAATAAATTTCAAATTTAATTCTTACGAATATTATGTACACGGTTCATAGATATATAGGCTATCTTAGAACGTCTAATACTGACAAGCCATTAAAAATAAAACTGATTAACTTTTCCCATATTTTGGTTTATTTCGAATATTTTTCGTGTTTCAATGGACTATATTTCGCCACTTCCGATATCTAGGGAGAACGTGATCTGTTAAGAAACATGAACTATGACCAGGACTGTCGAGCATTTGTGTGGGATCGAGGGTGGAGAAAGCATCCTTTTACCATTTATTTTTGAAGTGAAATACGTAGAACGTTTATTAATTTAAAAAAAAAANACAGAATATTTCTTTGATATGCTTAAAACACAATTTTTAAATATAAAAATTTAACTCAAAGCAACTTTTAATATGTTATAAATATCCAATAATGCATCATAATATTCATACCCTTAATTTCGAAAAATTAAAGAAATATTTATCGGTTTTTTTCTTTACTTTTAATCAGTATCTATCCTAAAATTTGATAAGTACGGTTCAATACAGATAAAAACATTTAAAAAGGGGGGTGAAGATATTTAATTTGTAACTGATTTAAAATAATCGACGGCATTTTTTTTCCGTTCTGTGCAATTAAAATTATATATTTTTTCCAAACCAAACATGAATTATTTCGGTATCAATTGAGAAATTTTTTTTATTAAAGTTATAATATAGAGAATAATAATAATGGAGAATAATTTTTAGAGAACAAAAATATATTTATTTGATAACATTTTGAAATTTTATTACTATTCTTTACTGCATTTTTTGACGAATCATCACTATTTTGTTTCTTCGTTAGCACAATATAAGGATAAAGCAGAAAGAAATCTACAGATAGTGTTTTCCCCTTTATCCAAATATGAATAGTTTTTTTTTATAATGAGTGATAAATTACTTTTCATATGTATAGGATGAATAACGAAACAATTATTCATTATGAATTCTGTTTGCTTAAACGGATAATAATGAACCATTTCAAATAACCATTATCTATCAGATGTAACCTGTCACTAATATTATTAATCACTTTTTGAAAATAATACAAAGGTGTAATTCAATCCGGACAGTTTCACAAATCGTTACGATAACATTTGTTACAGACAAAGTTCAAGATTTACTAAAGATTTCGCGATAACACAGACACTTGTGTTTAAAACTGTAGGCTTTATTTATACTGATAAACGCAATGGAGGTTTATAATAATTATGTAACAAAGTTCGTAAATTAAATGAAAANAGGGGTGGCCGTTTTGCTAAATTGCCCACCATAAGACCGTTTGACCTGATTGTAACGAGGTGTTGGGAGCAGTATATACGTGATTCACGTATATATGCTGGGCAGACACTGGACTTCTAGACAGTATCATGAGAGATGATCGTCTCGTGAGACAAGCATGAACAGCTGCAACTACATATTTTTCCACTATCCAGAGACAGGTGGAAGCCCCCCTCTTCTCATACCAATTGAAAGGCAACTAGCAGAAGGTTGTTCTAGTTTAGTTGATCCTTTGTATAACTCGTTTTTAGAATTCAATTATCGTTATTTCAAGTTTAATAAATTTCAAATTTAATTCTTACGAATATTATGTACACGGTTCATAGATATATAGGCTATCTTAGAACGTCTAATACTGACAAGCCATTAAAAATAAAACTGATTAACTTTTCCCATATTTTGGTTTATTTCGAATATTTTTCGTGTTTCAATGGACTATATTTCGCCACTTCCGATATCTAGGGAGAACGTGATCTGTTAAGAAACATGAACTATGACCAGGACTGTCGAGCATTTGTGTGGGATCGAGGGTGGAGAAAGCATCCTTTTACCATTTATTTTTGAAGTGAAATACGTAGAACGTTTATTAATTTAAAAAAAAAAAACAGTCTTAATGTTTTTATTATTAACAAAAAGTCTTCAATTTATACGGGTAGGAGCCACTAAAGGAATGGTTTCTCCGGACCATGAGAAACAAACGAGAATTTAATTTTATATATACATAATCTAAGATAAAATTATTATAACACCAAATGCTATCGAAACGTTTATTAAATTAAAATGTTTAGTGGGAGAATGAAACTAATTTCTTTTTATAATTGCTTATCAGTATGTAATACCTGCCCTAAATCCGCATTTCATATATAATTAATGTTAAACAGAAAAGCTATCGCATTGATACTCTTTATACATACAGTATTATATTTTGCTAAATAAAATATTTATTTTTTAAATTATAAAATGATGAGCTGATCATATTTTGAGGATAATATCTAGGTGAATAGGAGGATAATTAATCACTAGGTGAAAAATTATTTAAATTATACGCTAAAGTCGAGGAATTTATTTGTGAATATTTATAAAATTATATACATCATTTATTAAATAAATATAAAAGCAAAAATCATATTATATATCTGCACTTGAATAATATTCATACCCTTAATTTCGAAAAATTAAAGAAATATTTATCGGTTTTTTTCTTTACTTTTAATCAGTATCTATCCTAAAATTTGATAAGTACGGTTCAATACAGATAAAAACATTTAAAAAGGGGGGTGAAGATATTTAATTTGTAACTGATTTAAAATAATCGACGGCATTTTTTTTCCGTTCTGTGCAATTAAAATTATATATTTTTTCCAAACCAAACATGAATTATTTCGGTATCAATTGAGAAATTTTTTTTATTAAAGTTATAATATAGAGAATAATAATAATGGAGAATAATTTTTAGAGAACAAAAATATATTTATTTGATAACATTTTGAAATTTTATTACTATTCTTTACTGCATTTTTTGACGAATCATCACTATTTTGTTTCTTCGTTAGCACAATATAAGGATAAAGCAGAAAGAAATCTACAGATAGTGTTTTCCCCTTTATCCAAATATGAATAGTTTTTTTTTATAATGAGTGATAAATTACTTTTCATATGTATAGGATGAATAACGAAACAATTATTCATTATGAATTCTGTTTGCTTAAACGGATAATAATGAACCATTTCAAATAACCATTATCTATCAGATGTAACCTGTCACTAATATTATTAATCACTTTTTGAAAATAATACAAAGGTGTAATTCAATCCGGACAGTTTCACAAATCGTTACGATAACATTTGTTACAGACAAAGTTCAAGATTTACTAAAGATTTCGCGATAACACAGACACTTGTGTTTAAAACTGTAGGCTTTATTTATACTGATAAACGCAATGGAGGTTTATAATAATTATGTAACAAAGTTCGTAAATTAAATGAAAATTTGTCACAAATATGTAAGAAATTTATTAATTCTCAAAAGGTTTTTTAAAAGTATTTTTTTTAAAAAAACAACCTCGATATGGGCGGATTCTATTAGTTACACTTCCTTTAAAATATTTATATTTCAGATAAGATTTATCGAAGTGAGACGAACATATTTTCCCTATTGGAATTTCACTATTTACTGTACTGGATGATTTCATTCATCATAGCAATGTTCCTTCAATTACATGATATTTTTATGACTAAAAAAAAAAAAATAATAAAGCATTAGAAGATCAATGTTCTACTTTTATAGAATTCTAGTACGAAGTAAAATACGTTATCAAAACTATTCTATGAATACTGTTAATAATATTCGGCGCTTTCATTACGTGAACACAGCATGTCTATGGTTACGACTTATAAAAACCTTGATAAATTACTCTAGTCTGTTGTATTTTACTATTTATTATTTACAAGAAATTCCACTAGCCACGTGCCAAACCACTGAAGCAAAACCAATTATTTGTTTAATTATTAATAGTTATAAAAGTATGAACCAAAGAACTTAGTCATCATGCTTATATCAAATTGGCTTTGTGATAAAATCGTCATTATAAAAAAAAAAAAGCTGCATTAAAGAAATTTGTCACACTTCATGCCTATTGTTGTTAATTAAAAATGTTTTGAAACACTTCAAATTGTTGAGATGAAAACAGTTAGTCTATAATTTTAATATGGAAAATGTTTTCATAAAATTTTCAAATTAGGATATTTTTTACCAATATTTAGTTAAAATATATTCATTTAAAATTTTCTACTGATTTTAGAAAAATGATCTACATTTCAGTCCATAAAAAATATCTAAATAAATTTAATTATTATTGGTATTATAATTTTAATTGTTTTCAATCGGAATATAAGTCCATCATTTATATGAAAGTATTAAACTTTTTAAAATGAATATATCACAAGTTCCAAATTATTCTTTTCATTGTTATATTTAATAATTTTGATCATCTCAAAAATAATCTTTAGGTGCTCTTTTAAATCCACTGTTTAAAATTTTAAATACATTATCTTATGCATTGTATGCGTGTATGTGTATGTGCATGTAAAAGTACTTAAAAATTTTTTAAAATGCCTATTTCTCTTTTACAGATGTGATAGTTTGTGATGAAATTTAATTTAAACAGTTGTGATGTGATAAGAATCATTTTTCCCATTTTGTGGGAAAAATTATTCATATCACATTATAACTCTGAATTTTATGGCATTATTATAGTAATAAAAAATAATGCATATATATTTTACTTTGTAGTAAAAGTAATGCATATCAGATTGCAACATCTTTAAATTAGATATTTCATTTCAAACTATCACATCTGTAAAGCAGAAATAGGAATTTTTTAAATACCATCCTGTAGGTCTTTTTTTTATATCCATCATGGGTTCAGCTAGGCCCACAATGAGGGCACCGGGAGGTGAGTGAGAGAAATAGGTTAACTTTACTGACCTACAAAAGTTGAGTAATAAATCATTCCTGTTTTGACACTGAATATCAACCAACTAGGACTCAGAATAATTAAATACAACACCAATATATAATGTAATTACATAACTTTTTAAAATAAATTTTTAAGATTTATAAAATATTGTATTACGAAGTGTATATTCAGTATATTACAGTAAAGTAAAAATAAAAATAAAAGAATTATGTAACACTATAATTATCTTATAAAACAAAATGAATTAAAAAATAAAAATTTCAACTTGGCACATGATAAATCTTTATTTACATACTTACATGACCACCTTCTTTAACAGAATATTTCTTTGATATGCTTAAAACACAATTTTTAAATATAAAAATTTAACTCAAAGCAACTTTTAATATGTTATAAATATCCAATAATGCATCATTGGAATATTCCAATTGTCAATTATTACTGACAATGATTTGATCCTCAAAAATATAATTTGAGATTTATAATAATAGTATACTTTTGTAGGATCAAATAGCATTATTTTTGTCAATAAAAAGAATGAAAATATAAATATTTATACAGGTAAAAATTGAAAAAAAAAATTGAAAATATTTTCAAAATTTCCTTTAATTAAACTGCTTTTTTTATTATAAAATCTTCTAAACACATACAATAAGTATGAATTATTTACTGTATTTTTTGATTTTCACATCCATTTTTTAATGACCTTTCTCTTTTGAAAGATTCAGATATACAATGTTAACTGAGTGACTATTTCTTTCTTAGGAGAATTTTTAAAAATTAAAATGTTACTTCAACTTAGTTCAAGTTAAAATCATTATGATTTATAAAAGTTAAATTAAATATAGATAAAAATGTTTTAAATAAAATAATTTTTACATATAATGTATATATATGTATATAGAATTTAGGAAGCTCCACACAGAATTTATTGCAAATTTTTTCAATGTTCTCTTTTACATTTTTATATGTACTGTGCTATGGTATAATTATAAAAATTTGTATAATCATGACAATGTCTCACATTTTTTTTAATAATCTCCATTATAAGTTTAACATGAAAATCTATAACAATGCCAATTTTTACCACTAGTTACTATTTAATCTTTGAAGAAAACAAAATAAGATTTTAAATTATTACAAGGAAAACATTTTCACAAAAAATATTCAAACAATACAAAAATTTGAAATATGAAAATTTACAATTTATACATAAATTATTATGTTTTGAAGTACTTTTATTGCTTTACAAAATTCTTTAAGAATATTTTTTTTACCATACTTTAATCTATATTTCTAACTTTTTTATTTATATATATACATCAATTTATTTGATTATGATGATATATTTTTCATTAGTTTTGTTAACAGTTATTTTATAACAATTGCCAAACTTCTGATTATATAATAATATTTTTGAATTTTACATTTTTCAATTATAACAATTTTTATATATATAAACATTAAGGTTAAGCTAAGAAAATATAACTATTTAAATTTTTGGAATTATTTATATATATATATATATATGTTAACGGTTTTATGGAAATATAAGTTTAAATTAAAATTATATATCAATTTTGTTTCTTAAATATACTATATTAGTTTTGAAATCACGTCCTTCTGAATCAACAAAAATTAAATTTTTTTTTCACATATACATATCCATCTACAATAGTATAAAATTTCTTTGGCAGTATAAAAGTTCTATATAATTTTTCTCAGAAGTTTCAAGTTACTATCATTGATGTCTAATTATTTATTCTGAGTAATTTTAATAAATATTTGCATAAAAAAAATAAAATCCAAATATGCAACTGAAAAGTATTATTAGGCATTTATGTTTATGATCACTGTCAATTATCTCGGATGCACAACATTGTTCTTTTCTTCAGATCTGAGAAATTTGAATGATATGTCTATATACTTTTAATAAAGTATATATTTATTCACATTTATATACTTTATATATTAAGGCAACCTTATAATTCAAATATCTCGTCCTGCTGTTTTTCTAATTTTCTTAAGGATGAACGAACTTTATGGCCTCCCGTCATAACAACGGGTTGGGGAGGAATAGAAATATCATCGGTGAAATCTTGTGATGATGATCCTGTAATATTCAAACTGCCTGTACTATGTAGATGTCTATGCTTATATTTTTGAATTTTTTGCCTTGAAACATTTAAATCATCATCAGAATGTCTGTAAAATATGAATAAATGATTTAACTCAATTGATTTCAATTAATATAGTACATATATTAATTAAACTAATTTTTAAAATATCTTTTTATTTTATGAATTTGTTAAAAAATTTAAAATTAGTAAACAATTATTTTTAATACTTATTATATTTAAGAATTTAAATTAAAATTATTATTAAAAGCATTTCAGAATTTATAATAATTTACAATTATAATATACGCATTGCATAAAATATATAAATTATATATATTAATATACACACACACACACTTACAAGTTATTATGCAATATAAACATTGAATAATCATATAGGAATGAGTGTGTGTGTATATTAATATATATACACACACACACACTTACAAGTTATTATGCAATATAAACATTGAATAATCATATAGGTATCAAATAATCTAATCTTAGCTTCTATATATTAACTATGCAATCTGAATAATAAATGAAGTATTAATTTTAAAAATGTTGCATTACTGCTAAGAAATAAAAAGAATAAAAATGCAGTAACTAATATTTTATGCTAATGATAGTATTTGTATTACAAAATCATATACATGAGTTGATGTGCATGTATATGATTTTGTAAGAACCCAATTTATAGTTAAAGAGCCAAATAAATTTCCAAATCATAGCCTTATAATTCAGCAGTTCATTTTGTTTTACAAATCACATGAAAAAATTCTTATTGCTTGCATTTACTTTTTTGTATTCATTTATTCAGATATAATAATGAAATAATTATAAGTACTTATTAATTCATTACTTGAAATTTGTTTATTTTATGAAGACAGTTGATTTTACTTATTACTTTTATCAAATTTTAATATTATATGCTTTTAACATTTTTTGTTAATGTATTTATATCCATACAAGCATTTTCTCTTATTATAAGCAAGATATACTGTGCTACTAAAATTTCCATAGAACAATGTTTTAAGAATTTTATTTAATTCATTAATAATAATCTGTTACATAATGAGAGAATGTAGCTCAAAAGCTTATATATTAAAACTATATCTCTATCTTGTTATGTATTAATTTAATATCAGAACTGTCAGAAACACACTTGATAGAAAATATTTTAATACAGAAATAAAACCAAGATACTCCTGAATCAATCAATTTTTTCATTTATTGATATAATTTCTGAAATATCTATCAGATTTTATGTCAAGGTTATTCACTATTAATTTAAAAAATATTATAACATGTAGTATCATCCAAAACAAATATTCCTTTTCCATTTTTACTTTCTTTGGCATGTATTGTGCTAAAATAAAATAATATTCAGTTGCAACATAATTATGCTATAATATATATATTCTAAAATTTATTTATCAAAATTAATTAGAATTAAATTAGTTATTTTGTTTAATAGCATTCATACTATTTATTATCTCTACTGGAATCTCAATTAAACAACACACACAATGCAACATTATTATTCATTGATAGCTCATTAATTTTTTAAAATTGTTTTCAATTAATTTTGTCAATAGTAAAAATAAGCAAAATAGTACACGCAAAATCTAATCAGATCATTCACTTAGCTTGATTTATTAGCTTAGTAAAAATATTTTCAATGTGATAACTTGCTACATGAAATAAATATTTTAAAGTAGTTTTCGAAAATTATATTAAAATAATGTCTAACATTGCAGAATGCATTTCCTAAGATTTCAAATAAAAAAACAAACAAAGAACAATTATCCACATGACAGTATCTATTGTCCTTTAATTGAATATTGTACTTCTGAAAGACAAATGCTGCTGATATTGAAATAATTTTTAAACAACTGATCATAGCTTCTCTAATTAGATGATGATATCATTTGTCAGATTGATATTTTAAAATTGCTAAAAATGAAGAAATATATAAAAAAATTTTCATTTCAGATATACAATTATTTCAAGAGAGTATAAGCAAATGTTTTCTTATATTTATTAAACAACTAAAAGAGCTTCTATTTTCTATAGGAAAAGTCTTTTTTATTTTTGTAAATCTTATATGAATTAAAAAATAAAAATTTCAACTTGGCACATGATAAATCTTTATTTACATACTTACATGACCACCTTCTTTAACAGAATATTTCTTTGATATGCTTAAAACACAATTTTTAAATATAAAAATTTAACTCAAAGCAACTTTTAATATGTTATAAATATCCAATAATGCATCATTGGAATATNTTTCTTGCTGAATCATACTTTTTTTACCAATTACCATAATTATTATAATAAATTTTTCTAAACCATAATTTTTAGTGATAAATTAAAAAAGAAAATTTCACATTCACTAATGGAGATTAATTTTGCTAAAATCTTGAAAAAACTGTTAATTAGTTATCAATTTACAATAGTAGTGTTTACAACTGTTTCATTTTTCAGAGATGTTTTATTTCAGTTTAAGAAATTAATTTTTTTAATGTGTTAACAATAAAAAAAACTTAATTTCCTAAACTGTAATACAAATTTTGTTTCAATATTATGTACTTCAAAGAAGTAATGTTCTAATTTTGGATTTGTTGTAAGAATTAGCTGATTATGTGCTATATGATCTGCCTTATTTCTGTTATGAAAACATCTGACTTTTAAATGAAGCTAGTGTAGACAGTTTAAAAATCTCAATTAAACAGATCTATGTTTAAATTCTAACAAATTACAAGAATGTAGTTAGAATTCAAGCCTGAAAAATAAGATAGTAGTTATCCATCTAAAAACAACGTGTATAAAATTTCTATTTTTTGTATATACTTTAGTGGTAATTTAATAACATATATAGAAATTCAACTGCAAAAAAATATTTAAAATATATTAGTTTAATGAAGCATTCTAATTATATTTGGAAAGATAGTTGTTAAATTAAAATGCAAATATGGAATTTTTTTGAAAAATTTTTCAAAGTAAAACAGGCTCAAAACTATATTTCATTATTTTTTAATTAAAGTTAATCAAATTTACAATATTTTTATAATTAGATTTATAAAACATTGCAGTATAATTAAAAATAATTTTTTAAATCCAGAACAACTGCTTAAAATGTACCTTTATTTTTAATGCAATCATACAGTCTTTTTTTGATGTTAATAACCACCTTGTATAAATATTGAACAGATGATGATTGTAAATGCAATTTATGTTAGTTTTAAGCTCATATAGTATAAATGGATAATTTTTGTACACATCTTTTAAGATACTTTCTATAGAAAAAGTTCCAAGTTGACAATTATGAAGGACACAACTTTGGTTTCAAACAAGCACTTGATTTCTGAACAGGAAAATCTTTGCAGTTATCAAAATTTGAGACTAAGTATAATTTATATACTTTATGTCAACAAACATCATTGTTTATCTGTGAAAAAACATTTTCCTTCATCTATATCTAGCTTCTGGGTCATATGAACACGGTATGAATAAAAGAATAAATTTCTCTGCTTATATTCAATAAGTCCTATATTTTAAGTCCTAATTGCAATACATGTTTCTGAACATTTATCAATAGAAAATGTTGAAAGCTCTTTTTAATTAGCAAATTTGACAATGAAAAAACTGGTAGATCTTCCTTCATTTTCTTCATTTTAATTGTCATCAGGATCAGTTTCAGTTACTTGAAAATAGGTTGCTTTAAAGTACTGCAACATCCAGATTTTACAAGCAAAATCTGTTTGTACCCACATGATATATAAAATAAAATTCAACTGTAAGCTTGTCCTTTGAAAACATCACTTTATCTTTATTGTAAAATAAAGTACTGTCCATTTCATCTTTCATACAGATGAGTTTCTTGATACTTGTTATACATATCATCATCTTTCCAACAATAACTATATCATCATTTTTTAACATTACAAGACATTATTTATGCTAAAATTGATTCTGATTAAAATTTCATTTCACTTTTTCAATTATCCTATGTTGATTATAAAACTAATAAATTATCCTATTTCACTTACCAAAGTTTTTTAATTAACTTACAAAATAAAAATAGTGAAATAAAAAGTCCTATATATTATGCAAAATAAGTATGAAGTACTAAAAGTGAAGTATATTTAAATTATTTTATATTAATATATAAATTCCTATGTATATTTCTGCTATTCAAATGACTCATACAGATATAAGATTTCTTCCTTTCTGACAACAAAAAGAACTAAACATGATTTAAAAAAGACAGCTTAATATCACATTTAGATATTCTGCAACATTAAGCTAGTAGGAAAATTAAGAGTAGATATTCAACGAAAAGAACAGGGCCATTATCATGATGAAAGATAATAGATTAAATCTCCTTCCTCCTAAAATTTGGACTTATAACAATTAGTAGTTTAGAAGACAAGAATTTCTAACAAAATATGCACCTAAAGGTACTATAAAAATAGAAATAATCAACTAAATGATTAAAAATGAAAAAAGCAGCACCTATTACAAAAAATTAGGATATCTATAGAATATTCTTGCAGAATTTCTAGGGATAAGTTCAAATATTATAAAAGGCAGTATCTACAATACCCTGGACAAGAAAATCAAAAAGCAAAAATAATAATAATGTCAAGACCAGTGAAAGCATAATATTGCATGGAGTTCTAGATCAAAACTTTCAACATAGAATCTACTATTAGAATTACTTTAGATGAAGGCAAAATAAGAATAATGGAAGAATTACTAATTACAACTTTGGAGCAACTTACTATCATTAAGAAGTGGCACAATCTGTCATTTTTCTATAGACTCCTACCGGTAGGTCTGGATACTGAGATGATCACATGCCAAATATACATACATAATTAGTAATTTTAATTTACTTCATTTTTATAAAAAATCACATTTTAACATATTTCTACAGCAACAGATTTGAAATTAAGCATTTTCTAACTATTCTACAGATTCAAATTTATAATATTTAGGAATCTGATAATGAAGCAAATGAAAACATTAATGAAAAATAAATAGGGCTTTTTTATTACATTAATTCTATCGTATATTCAGGAATCATCAAGAATTTGAAATATATTGCAAAAAATCAATTCTTAATTAATTATAGCTGAAAAATAATATATTAACACTTTTCTATAAATTACATGTTTTTATGAACTTTTTTGTATTTACTTAGTCAATGTTTTATCATCACATTTTATTATATTTTATATATTCCAAAATCATAAAATAATTAGATTATACATCCATACATTTTTTTTACACTATGATTATTAAGATAAAATTAAAAAACTGTTTGGATTTCATTACAGGAAATGAAATGTCATGTCATGTCATATGAGTATATACCCAGTAAAAAACATTTATTTATAAAAGGAGATTATTATTATTCATAAAAGAAGTCTTCAAATTTTTAGTGTTATTCAATCTTATGAACAGTAACAAGAAAAAAGAAATTCATTAAAAAGAAAAGTAAAAAGGAAATTAAACATTAGCTAAAAAATAAAAATTAAATATTTGATCTATTTTATATCATAAGTACTTAATCATTTACATAAATATATTAAAATTATGAACTAACTCCTTTCTGCTAACAACAAAAAACAATATACCCATTGCTTTTGCTTTTATTTAATTTACACATGATAATTTAAGATGATAGTTTTTCCCCTATACCTATAAGCTTATATAAAATGACTAATAGTCATTAATATTTGTAATATTATGTAATTTCCTTTAAGATTAAATAATTTAAAATACTTTACACAAACAACATTAAAAAATGAATAGAAAACACAAGAAATAGAAATAATAATTTAAATCCAAATTGATTAATATTTGATATTAGTCAGTAAGAAAGCATAAATCAATACTAATTAACCCAAATACTTAAATAAAATTGGGTGAGATTGAGTACTCATTTCAGAGAATTTTTATTAGCCCAAATGTAAAATAGATAATGGCAAAAAATATGAAAATAGACAATATTTCAACAAAATAAAAATTAATAAAAATGACAATATGTATAAAATTAAAAATCAATCAAGAAAAAATATATATTTATGCTTTAAAATAATTACAATTAGTTGTAATAATATCCAAATTAACTAACTAGTTACAAAGACTTGGCTAAACACATAAAATAAACTTACACAGTAATCTGTTGTAAATATTTCACTTTATCTTTAGTTTCTGCAATTGAACTATCAATACGAATCAGAAAATCTGCTAAACTTTCTTCCCTTGTTGATATCGTATCATTCAAGTTAAAATCTCCAGAATCTGTACAATGAGTTTCTTTATTTTTGCCATTTATTTCTGAATTAGAAACATCAGTACCAGATTTCAAAGAAAAATTTGCTAAATCAGCTGCAACTGGAATATTTAGAGTTGGCCTCAAGAAAAGACAATCTGCACTCCATAATTTATTTGCTCGTTTAATCTGTTCCATCTAAATAAAAATAGAGTGAAATTATCATCTATAAATTTCATTATTACTACTTAGCAATTTTATAATTTATTTTTGTTGTTATTTAATTTTTTAGAAATTACTTATATTGTAATTAAGTTAATCAAAATAAATATAAATTAATATTTATATTAAAACTTAACAATTAAAAATGTAAATATAAAGTACCATATAGACCCAATACATTTATATATCTTAATAAGAATATAAGTTATATTTTAAAGTTTTATGCCAATAAATTTAGGAATATTAGAAATAATTTTATCATAATACAGTACAAATCTTAAGTATGCATGGCAAATTTTGAATAAAATTTTGCTTTTATCATCACTTCTAAGTATTTAAAAATTGTAAATAAACAACTAGTTATAATTCAAATAATTACTGCATGCTATCCTTCTATGACTTTCATATTTTTAAATAAAATTTATGTACTAGAACTTGAAGATGGCTATTTAATTAATTTAATTAATTAAATGGCAAATGTTTATGTTATTAAATGTTTCTGAGACATAAATGATCTCCCATACAACAAACCTAATTAAAACTTAAAATACAATGGCAAGAAATTTAAGAAAGAAAGAACTATTAAAAAGCACACACATTTTTAATATTTAATAATATCAATAAGAAAAACAATTCTTTATTGTGACATCATCACAATGTCAGGCTGCAATTTTTAATCATAATTTTAATTTGTTTAATTTAAAATATATACTCTCCACCTCAAATTAGTTAGTGTCTTGTCCTTGTATATCATACTTTTCTTGTTAGCAATAGAGTTGTACCAGTCATCTATCTAACTCCATTCAGGGAAAAATATATTAATTGAAATAACATGATTTCTGGCTTAGATCAGAAGTTTGTATATAGTTAATTGGGCCTCCTACCATTTTCCTTATCTTAAGCTTTCCATATCTGGTCTTGGCTTTCACCTAACTCCATTCTCAAGATTAAAGAAGGACAGATCTACAATTTTTTCAAATTGCAGCCCAGTAACAATAAACATTAAAATTCTATAAAGGTCAATGTTTCTCACTGTAACTTATTAAAAATTTCACATTTGAGCACATGACAAAGCAATTGTATTTTACTGCATATAAGATGTACTGTATATCCAATTTAAGACAAAATATTTAGGAAACTATTTAGGGTATTTAAACCATCCTGCATTTTCGACACTCAACACCAATTCTTTTTTTTTTACTTTATTCTGTGTTAAAAAAATTAAAATTGAAATTCACACTTTTATTTATCATGTAAAAAGAGGAGTTAGAAGAAATCATTTACCATTACTGTATTCTACATTAATACATGCAAAATCTGCTTAGCTATAGCAAAAACAAATAATAATATATCTAGTTAAATAATAACATTTTTATTCACGAGTTGGGCTAGGTAGAGGTTGCCTGCAGCCTACTGAAGGTCATGTGGGGAATTCAATAGCCTATGGAAACTTATAACTTCACACATAGGATGCAGGGCAATTTTTTGGACAAAAGTTGTGTCATAAAATATGGTAAATTGCATCCTTCTCCTATACAATGGACAATGAAAGTGAAACAATACATTACATGGTTTTTTTTATTATTCTGCCTTTCTCAAGATAGACAACTATTGAAAAAAAAAAAATTGTTGCCTAACAGTTTTTGAACAGTTGGATCATCATCTAATAGGTTTAAAATCAACTTTCAGCTAGATATTTACTGGGATGTTTAAAATATGATTTTCATTGTAAAAAGTAGAAACAGGAAAAAATAGGCAAATTAAAAACAAACAGTTAATTAAAAAATCAGTTATAAAACATAAGACCACTAGTCTTATGTTTTATAACTGATTTTTTATAACTGAAACCTCATGTCTTTTTCTTCCAATATTCGTATTAAATCAGAGACTAAGATCAATTAAAAAAATATTTTTAATGGGTTTTATCAATTAAAAAAAATACTTTTTTAAAATAAAAACAAACAGTAAAATAAACAAAAAAGTAAAGCTTATGGGTAAAAAATAGGATCTGGCAACACAAAATTATACAGTATCTTATTTTTTTTTAAAAAATCTACTCTTAAATTTATTAAGCCTCTATTGAATCTAAAATTTTGTGACAAAGTTCCAGAGTAATTCTCATAAAATCAAAATAATATTGGCAATCATATAATCACAAATCCTGAATTAAACATCTATTATAACCCAATTTTTAATGTTCACAAAATATTTTACAAATCCTCAAAATCAATGTTTTTGTCTTTCAGTGAACTCAAATACAGAGGTGTGCAAAAAAATTGCATAACCCTAACATTTTCTTAAAATCTGCACAATAACATGAAATTGTATCATCCTGTCGACGATATAAAACAATGGATTGATCAAGGCCAGGGACAGCTCTACTAAATATTAGTGCCAGCAGATGTAATTAATGCACACATTTTCACTTTTTGTACATATCTGTTGTTAATGTCTCCTTTTGTTTACAAGATCATAGCAGTGAACTTGCCTTTTGCTTTACACAAGTTGTGTTAAGAGCTGTTTTATTTGGGTTTAATTAATTTATTAAATAAAAATGTTCTGTTTTTGGATATAAAAAAGTCTTGAAATTTTGTTTTTTTATATTTACAATAGTTCACTGATTTTATGCAGCTTAGTTGCAGTTTTCAGTACCTAATACTAAATCTAGTATTTGATGCAATTTTTTTGCACTCTTCTGTATTTTAATTATATTTAATGATTGTTGTATGTAGAGGTAAACAGCAGCTAATATATCATCTATCCTGAATTTTTAAAAATTTCTTCTATTCCACCAGCAAGTGTGTCAAACTCTGCCTCAAAAAACAGAAATTATGAAGAATGTCAACTAGTTGGCAATTTCAGTTTGTGTTTTACACTGATGATTTTGTGTGTGTGTTGTCCCAGCTTCACAATTACAATTTTCATTTAAAATTGTCTGTGCCTGAATAAGCTAATTATGGTTGACTAAGAATGTTTTTGTAAATCTAACATGGATTCCTTAAAGCACCCCTAGCTGTGATTTTTGGAGCTATTTTTTTCCATAAAGCTCTTTCCTGTAGACTGTTAAATTTGGTTTGCACATGTTTCAAAGTTTTGCCCATTGGTTCTCTGTGCAGAAAGTACTGAATAAGATAACTTTAATTTAAATCGCTTAGTATATTTAAAAAAATTAAAAACAAGTATCCACTGTAAAAACTGATTATAATAGATTCACAACAACCTTTAAGTGACCAGTAAAATATTTAATTGAAAAACAAACGTTTTTGACCGTATTTTTTTGGTCTTCTTCAGGTTAAAAGTCCCAAGATTTGAAGAGCCATTGTGCTTATATATATTATTTATATATTATATAAATAACATATATAAGCACAATGGCTATTATATATTATACCAGTACCTGTAAACAAGTACTGGTATAATAAACAAAGGTTAAGCGTACCTGTAAACAAGTACGCTTAACCTTTACACAAGATATTTGAAAAACTGATTATACTTAGAAAAACTCACTCAGATACCAACATCAGTTTGAAAATTTCACCAATGTTTAGAAACACCAAGTTTACTAATACCAACATTTTTGTCTGTTTAAAATGTACAAAAATATTGGTATTAGTAAACTTGTTGAAATTTTTAAACTGGTATTGGTGTCTAAATGAGTTTCTTTTCCTTTTAGTTTTTATACTGCATTTGATACATATATTTATGTTAAAACATGTATTCATTTTATAAATTTGTCATGTTTTAATGCAAATAATTTGTGGTTTTTTGGCTGAAATATCTAGCAGCAAAATAAACAAAAATGTATCAGATTAAATTAGACAAAAGTGCATTCAAATCCTGAAATATTTAATTTCTTCTGCATGTAGGTAAATATTTCAAGCAAAAAGATAATGACATTAATATAGTGTATTTTAAGATTACAATAAAAATAAATTGATTTATTTAGAAAATTTGATTTATAAAAAAAAAAATAAAACATTATATACATTAATTTTTATAACTGAAATAATAGTTTTTTGTTAAATTTATAATATAATATAAATCAGTTAATCAAAACTGATGAACAATTAGATACAGTACATATCATCAAAATATTTTGTTTAAAAATTTTACTTCCACATTTTCCAAAAACTAATAAGAATTAAATTAATAAATAACAATATGATACAGAATATATAAATTATAACACAATTTTTAGTATAGTTTCTTATAATTTCTTAAAAATTAATAATTTAATTTACAATTAAAACACTTAAAATTTAAAATCTAGGTTTAGCTTTAAACATAAAATGATTAACTGATTTTCCTTCATTTTTTAAAATAAAAAAGAACTTATGCAAAATAATCATGACGATATGCTTTTCAAATATACAATTAACTAATTTACAATGACATGTCATTTTCTCATACTTATACATTTCAAAGACTTTCGTAATTTTAAATGATCATGAAAAAGATTTTAAAAAATATTTGCTATGCAGTCCTTTTAACAGTGGTTTGTAATTAAATTATTTATTTTTATAAAATTTATTTTATAGTATAGTAAAAAAAAATTATCAATCCAGCATTTTTCTGTATGTTTTACATTATTAGATTTCTGAAAAGTAAAATGAATGCATTTCAATACAAAGAAGTGTTAACATGTAATTTGTTTTATGAATAAAAAAAAATAATGCAAAAAAAAGATGTAAATATTAAAAATTTTTAAAAAGTAAAGTGTAACGAAAATTTTTAACACAATTATTTTAATTAAAAAAAAAGCAGTTAATTTAGTATACTGAGAAAAAATAAGTTTGAATTCTGTATCTGATAACTCTTAACTATAATTAATAAATTTGAAAAATTTTTCTTCAAATTACAAAAGGGAGAGAAAGAGAGATCTGTCAGATTATGAAAAAAGGAAGTCTTGAAGGTTTGTGACTTTCAAATGTATCACTAATGAAAACAGCATGTAAAATTGATTGAGACNTAATTTT